CGATCCATGAGGTGTGTCTACAGTCCAAACTACTGGTGCCCAACAACGAAATGTCTATACATGAGTTCCTGTCCGCTGCCATCGACCCGCCATCCATTGCCAGCGTTCGCGCGTCAGTACAACTGCTAAAGGTATGTAAGAGTGGGTTATTGTCACAAATAAATACCAATTTATTTTTACTAATTCTCTCCCATTATTTAAGACAATCGATGCTTTGGACTCAACTGAACAGTTGACACAACTGGGCGTCCGTTTACTGGATTTGCCGATTGAACCCAATTATGGAAAAATGCTTCTCTATTCGATATTATTGAGATGTGTTGAACCGGTGCTCACAATAGTGAGCGCATTCGCATACCGAGACCCCTGTCCGTACTCTTACTCTTATAATGTTAATGAAAACAATGTTTAAATAATATTTCACTTCTCTTTAGTTATGATACCGTCTGTTATGGAGAAACAAAAGTCGTTGAAAGCAATTAAGAAAATGTTTTGCGAAAGCAATTCATTCAGTGATCACATCATATATTTGAATGCCTTTAATCGTTGGCTGGAAATACAGTCCACTAACGATCGATACGCCTTTTGCAGACATAATCTCATTTCAAACACTACAATGACTTTAATCGATGGCATCCGACGCCAGATATTGGGTCAGTTACAGAGCGCCGGCTTTATTAGACACGACAGCGACGATCACAACCGAAACGCTCACAAATGGGTGGCAATTAAGGCTGCCTTATGTGCCGGCGCTTACCCTAAACTCATTCACTTTGACGAGAATTTGGGCCAATTCTGGTGTCAAAAGGATAAGATTCGGTTTCACGGCTCGTCTCAACTCAACTCCGACCCAAACACCGATAAGTCTGTATTCATTTATTATGTAAATTCTTTCAGTAATTCATTTGATTTGATGAATAGATTTGTGGGAAACCACTCGAAACTGCGAAAATTAATGCCAACGAATTGGTATATATACGAAGAGATGATACAAATGGGGCGCACATCTTATGCCAAGACAATGACCGCCGTTAGCACTGTAACAGTGGCTCTGTTCGCCGGCAAACCGGTGGCCGCTGATAGCCAACAACCCGTTACGGATCTCGACTCTCAATCGCACCTTCAGATCGATGATTGGATTCGCTTCGACTCTAACGCGCAGACCATTAAAATAGCCTCATATCTGAAGGAAGAGATTCACAATCTATTTGCCCGACAAATCGATTCGTTGTCGCGGGTCACGAGCCAGAGGTCACGTGATATCGACAACAGTGTCGTTGTAGAATGAAGAACTGGTCGCTGGTTTTGGAGTGTTGGACGGCACTGGGCTTAGACCAAGGGTTGGTCCCATTGGCCCTCAATTCGCCCATAAATATGATGTAATTATACTTTTATATTATAATTTACAAATACCGGTAATAATATTTATATTTATTTTGATGTCAGAGCCGTCCATACCATTCAAATCGTCAGTTTAGAAATCAAAAGTCGAAATTCAAAGCCAACCAAAGATTTTTCTAGAAATATAATTTATTCATAATTTATTTTATATTTTTTTATATACAGTAAATATTGATACAAATAGCATTAATTGTATATACTTTAGGCTTAATTGCCATCTCATTAAACAAAATTATTAGAAAACTATTTATTTGAAAAGTGTATTAAATATCAAAAAAGTTCAGCAAAATTATAGCTTAAAGAACATAAATAAAGGAAATATTTGAAAATTTGAAAAGTTAATTGAAAAATACAAATCAAAAAATATTATTTATAATAACAATGTATGCAATAAATGTACAGAAAAATTGAAAAAAACTTAAGGTTCTAAAATAGATTTCATTATCTATTTGTCCATTAATTCGACCGCAAGTTTAATCCCATTCTCGTTTGAGAACTTCAAGTGGTCCTTAAGTAGTATCAACTCTTCGACTGTAATAATACCATAACATTAATGGCAAACAATAACGATATAAACGCTATAAAATGGTTTTACCCGACAATGCCTTCAAATTGTTTACAAAATTGGGATCCAATTTGTTGCTATCCAACAGACGATTGGCTTTCATGGCAGACAATTCCGACAGTAAACTATTGATTATTATGAGTTTACGGACTTCTTTCAACTGATTCCGATAGTAATCTTTTATTTGTCTCAGTTTTTGTCGAGTCTCCGCCAAAATCCTATCACACCCTTCACTTTCTTCCGTCTTTTCCATATCCTCTCCGGTCGACCACTTGTCTCTCATTTTCGACTAATCGTACGGTTTGTCCGCAATCTTCTTCGCTCTGTTGGCGCACTCGACGGCCACCCGATGTGTCTCTTGAGTACTTATTTTAAGCCAAAGCAATAATGATATACATTATTGTAATGATTAGCGTCTAATAGATTAGACTGTAAGAAGTCTAACACTAAAATAATGTGTTCATTAGTTTTGTATATCGTTTTTATAGCATTTGTTCAACAAATTCAAGTTTGAAATCTTTAAAATAATGAGTATTTTTGTATTTATTTGAGTCGATATCGACTCAATATATAAAATATTTAATCAAATAAATCTCATCCCTTATTAATGGGAGTATGACATTAGCTCGAAAGACATGAGCTCGAAAGACACTAGCTCGAAAGTCAAAATCTCGAAAGACACGAGCTCGAAAGACATCAGCTCGAAAGACATGAGCTCGAAAGTGATTAAATTAATTTTACGGCATGTTTAATATGATATAATTATTAATCTAATTACTAAATTTAATAAAGCTATAAATACATCAAATATGAAAAATCCAGAATAAAATAATAAGCAAAAATTACATAACTAGCATTAATAATTAAATTAATAATTATATCTCATATTAAACATGCCGTAAAATCAATTTAATCATTTTCGAGCTGATGTCTTTCGAGCTCATGACTTTCGAGCTAGTGTCTTTCGAGCTCATGTCTTTCGAGCTGATGTCTTTC